TGGGTAGGTGTTAGGGAAGGATGGGGGGGGTGGGTCGTAGCGAGACCCTCTTTCAAGGTGGGGTCGCACTGACACCATCATTTCACACATCACGATGCTGTTCCCTGATTTCAGGTAACATAAACTGTTCGGTCTAAATTAGTGGTCAAGCATTCTGCCCATAACTCTGCAGTGTTGCCATCAGGGTACGCCCTGGCGTTCGGGAGAATTTGCCGTTAATGAGAAACCCCCACCAAGCTCGTGTGCACAAGACAGTGCAACAGATCGCGTAGGATTTATAGGATTACAGGAATATTGCTGGTGGTGGCTTCATTTGATATGTGATAGCAAGGAAAAAGAAGATGGTAGAGTGATTACGATCAACTCACCATTTCTGTAGGTTGCCCACCCATGTCGTGAATTTGGATGTACGTACCATTAACACTAAATCTGAAGTCTTGTACATCTGTCGTTGGATGTCTGAATTATTGTTTCTTATGGTAGAGTGAAGTATATTTCGGGGAAAAAAATGGTTTTTTCAAGTTCGTATGTCAAATATATCCGGTAATGATAGTCGGCAGTCATCACAAAAATTATGGACAAAAAAAACAATACAGGCAGAGGAAGGATGGCCGAGTGGTTAAGTCTGAAGGCCCATGTCCGCACTCTGAGCCACGAGTTCGATCCCTGCCGAGGCACAAACCTGCCTTGCAAAAATTGCAAAAATGGGGACGATACCAGCGTCAGGCCCAGGTTGACAGGCCGGCTGATGAGAAACCCCTCACAGCAATCATGAAGAAGTCGCAGCCCCAAAGAAAAGATGGGGGGGGGTGTCATCAAGAAGGACCCCACCGAGGTACGTGGCAACATCTCACAAGAACAGCGGACCCCGCCAGACTAACGCTAGGGAGAAGAAGCAGGAGGGCAGGACAGGCAGACTCGATTCTGCCCCGATTTACCCTGTCCGAGAGACGTAACCTATATCCGAGCGTAACTTACACTCCTCGAAGAGGATAAGAAATAATAAGTCATGTAGTCCGGTTGTATTTGTAGAAAACGAGTGGTTCATCTATATCCACAAATTCATGGAATTCGCATTTCATTTCAAGTTTAGAGACGTACCTTGCATGAACGATGTCGATGGTTGTTAACTCCACATTGTCACTGAATATGCGCTTTGATTTCCTTTTCCGAGAGAAATTTCAGCGTTCCATCCTCAATTCGCCATTTTCGAGCCATTTTGTGGTGCTTCTCCAACGTTTCGGCTATCTGCATTGGAACTTTCTCATCTTTTGTATCTTTGCTGGTAAGGAAAGGCCTACTAACGTTTGGATCCCGAAGTATTTCGAGCACATCATCTTCTAAAGACGACGGGACATCTGCCTCGAAAGCGTCTTTCCCATCCTTGGCTCCATTTTCGACGACTGCCACGATTGCCTCCACACTTTTCGAAGCCTGGCAGTCGTTGCCCCAATCAATCGTCTGCTGAAAGGGCTTAAGTATGAGTCATGCAATAAAAAAGATCGAGAATCGTAAGGAATAGTTCGTTTCGCTCTACTCAGAAGATATCGTTCTCCAACAGACCTCTCAGCTTCGAGGCAAAACGAAATTTGGTGTTTTTCAAAAAAAGAATTGAAAATGTAGATAGAAGACCTTTTCAAATATGACTGTGAAAAGAGGGCCTGCCAGTTCATCTCCGGGAGGAGCTGCTCCATCACAACCCGAGCTTTACTGTATACTACATCACAAGAGCTGGCTGATTCACCTGGATGAGGTTGTACACGGCTTTCATTATGTTATTGCGAATAATTTTTCGGAAAGTGGACATTTCTTCACTGGAAAATATGCTATCGACTGGAATTTCATTCCACTGTGAATCGAAGACCTGCAGGAGAACAGAGTTTGCATAAGATAACGGAACAAACAAATCGATTTCGGTGAAAGTAATTGCCTTGTAGTTTTTCGGCCGTTCTTTGCATAGACATTTCAGTTGTCGAACCACTGTCGTCTTACCAGCAGCTCCTGTACCGATCATGAAGAAGCGAGCAATTTGACGATTATCTCTCTAAATGAGGTCCTTATAATGGTCGTGGTAGTAGTTCCTCCAGCTTCTATGATTGATACTACTTGCTATGGATTAACGTACCTGGAACTGTGCTTGTTGGTTGCAACATTGGGATACAAAAGAGCCCATCTGGCAATCCGGGAGGCCAGTGCACTGGTGGCATTCGTCGATGTGCTGCGATAAGGGAATCGCTGCGGTCTTCATCAGGCTTATCGGAGAATTACGATATAATGTGCTTGACAAGTGGACATAAGAACTTGAATGAGGATGTGGCACTGTGACCGTTTCCCCTCTGTGCTTTCGTCACATAGGTACCGAGTGAAAGAAACTGCGTATCATTCTTGCCGCTCTTTCAGTTCTATTCAAAGGGGCCTTATCACATTGGGCTTGATCGATTCGAAGTGCACTGCAGGAAAAAAGTCGTCAAAGAAACTTTTATTTCCACTGTGACCATCTGAAAAAGACTGTGGAAATGCGATATCAGGTTGCTACTTCTTCACAGTTGTTTTCTTTGGCGCTTTTGTTTGAAATGCTATGTATTATTTTTGCGGACCCTTGATCCTTTGATGTTAGTGATTAGCGTACTTATCTTTTGCTCATCTTTATTCGAACCAAGGTCCGTTTGCGACTGACCATGTACACTCTACTTCGCTGCGGACGGTTGGGCGTGTCAGCCAGAAGGAGTGTGTCACCCTCTTTGAGCTGTTCTCTGCCTTCTTGTTGAAACGGGCATGCGACAAAAAACATCAGAAAACAAGTAACACGAAGGGTATGATACAGTATTTTTATTTGCTCGCTTGTACAACTCGTGGAGAACGAGTTTGGCACCACGCCAAACGCAGCCGCACGAACACGCCCAACCGTCCGCAATGAACAGTAGTATAGCCTTTCACTGGAAGTATGTGGATGCCGTAGTGTTGAGATAGCAAATTAAGTTGGGTTACGGGCATGATCTTCGTGGTCTTCATGAACTTTACAGGAAGACCCGATAGTTCTCTGAGCTTCATTGTAAGTAATCCTCCGACTGTTGGTTCAAGGGCAAATGGAACGATAACTCTACAAGGCGTATAAGATAAGTACGCTCAGCAGGACAGAATTTAGTGTTTCTAAGCAGACACTGTATGGCACCTTTTCAATGAATTCACCGTTATAATCCCTTATGAGGCTGCAGTATGCCGACCCGGACGCCCAGCGCAATGCCCGCCCACAATTGTCCGTACAGTCCCATCGACGCGGGTGCTCTTATTGCTTCATTTATGAAGAACAACAGACATGAAGTGTCGCTTTATGGATGTATGAATATGTACATACGTGCAACCGTATCTACCTAAGTGGTCGTTGGCACGATGCCATACGGAAACTCGTCCAAATATGCTCATCCAATGGCATGCAGAATAAAGGTTTTTCGCAGGTTTTTGGTCCATAACTTCACTTTTCTCGTCATTTTCGCTACTATATTGCACCACTACTATATTTCTGTAGCAAGTAGCAAGTTACCGTGCCTTATGCCTATAACGGGAGGTCGTCATGGTGAACTCTTTAGAAACGGTTCGTTGCATGATGTAGGGGTCCAAGCATGGACCACACAGATGGGGTTTATTTTTGCTAAGTATTATTGGGAATGCCAAAGAAGGAGTGTAAAAAATCCGACAAGAGAAGAACTATTTAAACACCACTTTATTGCTCCGTGTCTGAGGCTGTCTGCCGTGGCAGTTTATGTAGTGTGTTCTTTGAATAGCGCTCTTGAAAAGACAACGCAAAATGACAGGTAAAATTGATGTTTCTTTAGCTTGGCATGTGGTGCAGGCTACCTTTGGAAGTTTCTTGGTCATACTTCACATGGTTCACAAAAAGGTCCTTTACTTTAATTATTACGCCGTCTGCGAAATGCTGTGTGAAGTTATTAGGTTGTCCGAAGTTCTTAGCGTTTTGTGCACCTATTTTTTGTACATTCACTGCTGTTTAAAAACTCTTTCTGCCTTGCTTCTCAGTAGCCAATCCTGTAGAGAATTTCTTGCGCTATCTGATGGTATAATTGCCGTTTCACCATTGCTTATTGAACTCCCTTTTTTCAAGATTTTTTCAAACATGTGAAAAGAGCACTTCGGACGATTTTTTTCTTCGACTATAAATTGGGGCAATCCGCAACCGAAACAGCTCAGCAAATTAACCAGGTGTGGGGGCCCAATAGTGCTTGAGAAAGCACTGTGCTGCAATGGCTCAACAAAGTTCGTTCAGGAGATTTCAGCATTGAAGATGAACCTCATGGCAGTCGACCTAAAGCAATATCTGACGAGGATTTTGAGGAGATTTTGAAGGCTGACCCATCCCAAACAGTTCGAGAGATTGCAGAAAAGCTAGGCGTTGGCAAATCCAGTGTTGTAGATTGTTTGAAACGCATTGGGAAGGTGAAAAAACCCGACAATTAGGTGCCCCACAATCGGAGTGACCGGCAGGAATCGGCACGTCTCGAGGTTCCTTCTTCGGCTGCTTTTGCGCAAAAGAATTGACCCGTTTTTGAACCGATTTGTCACCTGTGATGAAAAATGGATCATGTATGATAACAGGAGATGTTCCGGACAGTGGTTGGATTTGGAGGAACCACCGAGGTAATTTTCAAAGCCGAACCCTCACGAAAAAAAATTCTGGTCAGGTTTGGTGGTCATCGGCTGTTGTATCCCTGTAACTTTTTTTATCCGGCCAGGGTCAAACTGCATCAGAGACAGAACCGCTACTGTGAACAAACCGGAGCCAACTGTTCGAAATATTGTCAGCTGCAGCCAACACTTATCAAAAGAAAGGGTCCGATTCTTTTGCATGACAACGCCCGCCCACACGTTTCACAAATCACTATCCATAAATTGAACGAATTGGGGTTGAAGTTCTACCTCACCCACCATATTCTCCAGACCTTTCACCAACCGACTGTCACCTTTTCAGACATTTTCAGAACTTCCTTGCTGAAAAATACTTCTTCAATTAGAGACCAGGCAAAAAAGCCTTAGGTAGATTTCGGGTGGATTCGTCGCCCACGAGCCGGCCTTCCACCCAGTTTTTCCTTTTATGGGATTTCTCGACTGCTGTCACATTGGCAAAAGTGTGCTGATTCGAATGGTGCCTATTTCGATTAAATCCGATGAGTATTAAGAAAGTTACGATCGCTTAAAGTGAAACACCCCAAACGCTAAGAACTTTCCGGACAACCTAATAACTTCTCTTGCCGAAACTTGGATTACGGCGGTCGGGCTGCAACATGGATTCGTATTATTTCATTTTTTTCAATTTCACCTGGTTTTCCTTGAGTTCATTCCCTATTTGGTAAATGGTTATATGCCTTTCGAAATATTCCTTCTTCTTCGAAAGCCTGTATTCTGTGAGTAAGCCAATATTCCTCTACAAAGTGCGCGAACCTCTGCGTTGCAAAACATTCGAAGCATTGGGTATATGCGCCATTTGTTTGTGTTGGGTGAATTGTGTTAGTCCGAAGTAGTTCGGCGCATCATATTGCATTCGTGGCTGAAAACGAACCGCGCTTTATCCGGTTGACCTCCAGAGCATAGGCAGAAACAGGGAACTTCTGGAGTACGGGGGAACACTGTAGAGCAGCAGGACCGTATAAGAAGCGGCCATGTGGAACGATCGAGAGTGACACAGGCAGGGCAGAAATACGACTCCTCGCAAATTGGGCCTTTGGTACGATCCTCATGCTTCCCATCCTGCCTACCTTACTACTGACATTTCTCAACTTTCTACCACTTTTCCTCACTTTTGGAAAAAATTTCCAGTTTTCCTTGAAAAGATCAGCTCTGATTAGCGTCCGTCTATATACTCTAACGCAATTTACTTGTGAGAGCTCTTGTACCAGATTAGGAAGAGGATTCGAACTTGGAGTGTTTTTGCTGCTGAGCTGAATGCCTACAACTGCTTTTTCCCCCATTCCATTTTCCGGACTCCCTACAATCTCTTAATAGGCAGACTTGATGTACTGTCCGCTATTCATTCTTTCAGTTGAACACTTGGTTGCCTTGTATTTGAAAAATCTATTTTTATGAGTGCTGGTTCAAGTAAAAACTAGTCATTTTAAGGTTGCGATCAAGAACGACATCGATGTGTTCTATTTCGCGTGTATCGTCCCGTTGTTGGTATTCTTCCATGAATCCGGTCAAATGGAGAAAAGAGAGTTCCTGGATATGTGGAAGGAAATTCCTGAACAAAACGAACAACAATTCACAATTCAGAACACTCAAAATCTGACCGCAGGTTAGGTAGCGTTCTACTTCCATTTGATTCTCCGGTTCCCAGTTCAGTAGTATGTTTTAGGGGTTTACAAGAACGAACATATCTTTTAGAACTGGAAAACGCTTTTTGCAGTTCTAAATAGCGGGGACTGAAAACGCAAGAGTATGTCCCAGTGGAGTTGCTGTGAAGAGAAGGAAACTAAGAGAATCATCGAAAACGTTGCCAGTAGGATCCTTGTTGGGCGCAGCTCGGCGACGAGGGGCATTTTGCACTTTCGCTGCCTCACTAATTCCGATTTACAAGTGTCACTCTGGTGAAACCTGAGCCTTGTGAAGCTGGAGCAAGCTGGCCGATTCTGTCAGCTCTTGTAATCCCATGAAATATGCAGCTCTCTAAATGTGTCGGCGCGTCCATGGGAAGCAGCAGAAGTGTACAATGCCGTCCCATCGCGGTTGCCTCTCCCTTCTTGATTTCACGCATGAGAAGAGACACTGAGGGTAAATGTACGAAAGAGAAACGTATGACGAAATGGCAAGAAGGTAGGGAGCGAGCAAGAACGTACTGCCGTGCAATGATTGAGAACTGAAGCGATGAGCGAGGAGATCGAATTATTTGGGTGGGGCTCGATAACTGCGGGAGACCTCTGGCACTCTACAAAAAGTTTCGAGCTTGTCAAAGTGGGTAACGTCGCAGTCAGGATATAGCATCGTTGTGTGAAACACATAAGGAGGTCGTGTATTTTCTCTGGGGAGGG